TTCCCCATAAAAATAATACCCAATTTTCCTTGCAAAAAACTCACAGAAAGTACTGTTTATAAACAGAAGTGAAACCGGGGGGGGGGGGGGTCGCAGTGTCATCTAAAGCAGTGGCTTTCAACCACCGGTCTGTGGACCTTTCCCGCTGGTCCATGGGGTGGGGGCACATCCAGCTTGCCGCAGACTCACGCGTGGTCTGACTGTGCTCCACCACCTCTTCCTTGGTTGGCATTGCATTTGTGGAGGGGGTGCTGGGGCTGCTGGGAGGGCCAGGGAGGGGAGAGAGGGCTCCGTGGGAGCTGGCTGGGAGCCATGCTGTACTGATTTCAGTATTTTGTCCTTTTGTTGCTTGGTTTTTGGTTGTTTTGGAGAATTTTCTATTATTACTATTATGGTGTTGTGTTTTGAAACTAATATACAGAATACTGTATTGTGTGTTTGGTGCTTTTTATTTCTGCCTCAGCAGTCCCTGAGGCTGGTCCCCAGCTGTGGAGAGGTTAAAAACCACTGATCTAAAGGACCAATTAACAACTGTGAATAGGGAATAATGATACACACACAGCAAATTTCCCCTGTAGGAAAGCTTATTTTCTCAATGAAATCTCTGCACATGCCTTCTGAGGAAAGAGCCAGTGACAATGTCAAATCTGTGCCTGTCTTATAATGTATTGCTTCCTTTGTTAAATTTGTATTCTGTCTTTCTAGCAGATCCTGTTGAAGGTAGCTAACTGTAATAAGATACAATAAAAAATAAAACTATTAAAAGACTATAAAACACAAAGCAAAAGAACAAGTCATGTAAAACATCAATAAAACAACTTAGCCCAATTACAATATGTTTACAGAGCCCTTTATGAGCCCAGTGCCAACTAAATAAGAACAGATCTTCCAATCTTAGATATAGTCCTGTAGGTTGGAGGATCTTTTCCCCTCCCCTGAAGCACCATGGTGCTTCTGTTTGCTAAATTGGTTATTAGTGTGGTAAGTGTACCAGCACTGCACGTAAAGAATTTTACATGTCCCTTTCTGAGAAATGGATTTGTGTTCATGCATGTCATAAGCAAAATCAGGGAGGGGGAAAAGGGTCAACCTGTATTTATAATTTCATTGGAAACATTTAGGTAACTTGGAAGAAAGGGGTCAATGGAGAAAAATCTAAGTGGAAAAGTTGGTTAGGATGAAACTTTACATTAGAAATTTGGGAAGGATTGCATAGTTGATGAAGGCAGTTTCAAGAAGAGAGAGAGCCAGGAATGAGAAGATGAAAGATTATTTAGATAATCTAGGAGCCCAGTGATATTTGACTCAAACATGTGTCTTAAGTGACCTGGTTAAGCTCAGCCTAACTGATGAGTATCCTGATCAGGGCCATTCAGTACTACCTTCAGCTACCTCCAGTCCTTCCACTTCTTCAGAAATTCAGGGTTCTTGGCTTAAACCACATGGGGTAGCCCAGCCACTTTGTCTTTCCCCCTCTTCAAGCCATTCTGGATTAGGATCACCATCTTGAATTCCTCAGATTCATCCATTACACTGGTTGCATTGTCCAATTTGTTGGCAAACATGACCATTCTGGCTTTGGGTGGTCAGAATAACTGGGCTCAAATGCCCCAGCTGGGGAGTACCTGGCAGGCGGTGGCACTGTAACTATACCAAAAAAGCCAGGCTTAGGAAAATAATCTATGGCCCGTCAGCCACTAACCACTTACTTCCTGCATCCTGGCTGCTGCAGTCAGGCTCTGATGCTGTGCTTGAGCCAGCCTTTGCCAGGCGCCCAGAACCGTGTGCCCATCAGAAGACGGAGAAGCTGAATGGCCCAGGAAAGATCTGCACAGGGGGCTTTTAGTAGCAGGTGATGCCTGACTCACTGGCATGTCACATGATGCACCTCCCAAACTGACCTCTGTGTGCTTTTTCTGCCATTACTTTCCTGGATTTCTTCAGTTCAGTTACGTTTTTTAAAAAAATGTGTTTTATGCCGTCCATATGTTTTATTTTTTTCTCTGACATATATTTCAGTCTGTGTTAAACTTGCAAAACTGCTCTGTGGGCGGGGAGGAGGGGTGCTTTAGTGCCTACAAGGAGCAACTGGATTAAAATGCCCAGACGGAGATGTCTACTCAGAAGTAATTCACATTGTCTTCAGTAGTGCTTTGCTCTTAGGAAACTCTGTACAGGTTTACTTCAGTTTTTGAGAAGGTGCTCTGAATTCCTTTTTTTTTTTTTAGAAATCCTTGCCCTTTTGCATCAGGGAACCTGTACATGATTAATCTAAAAGACACAAACAAAACTTAAAGGGCCATTTCTCTGTATGCACCACCTTTCAAACAACTCCTACAAAACGCTCACAATTGCAAGATCACAGTTGAAACACAGTCGAAACTGCACTGTATTCATTAGCAGGTTCCCCTGCAGTGGTAAATACATTCTGCATCAATACACTGACAGTACTTCCTGGTAAATGGAAGGTGCTGTACTGTAGATCCCCCAAAGTGGCAGAAGGAGGGAGAATTTGGGTGGGGAGGAAGAGAAATCAGTTAAAAAATTATTAACAGTTAGAGAAGCATAGGATGCTGGAAAGGAGGAGGAGGAGACTGCAGAGGATGAGGTGGCTAAGTGGAGTCACTGAGGCAGCGGGTTTAGGCTTGGGTGGACTCCGAGGGATGGTGGAGGACAGGAGAGCCTGGAGGAATGCTAGTTTGTGACTAAACGAAAAGAGAGAGGCATAGACTATTCTTTGAAGATAATAGGCCTTCTCAGGCTTTCCCCTCTACTGATATTGCCCAAATGAGCCGCTCTGTTGCTTGTAGAGGCAATTGCTGCATGTGTATGTGGGTTGCCTGGGTCAAGGGTCATTGTCTTTTACTTGTTACATGTGAGGAGATGGAGCGTGTGTTTCCATCTAGGAGGAAGAGGGATTCTTGGTAAAGTGAAGAACTCACATTTCTAATCTTTTCCTCAATATTATTTCACTAAAGTCAGTATGTGGTTGACTTCTCATTAAAGCAGCAACCTAGATAGATTTCTCTCTTCTCAAAGCTCAAGCTGTTGTCCCTTGTCATGATCATGTTGTCCCTTTCCAGAAGATCAAAGTGAAAGTTTTCTAAGCTACAGTCCTTTACAGAGATAGGCTGGCTTTGCAATGCAGAATAATAATAAAGTTAACAACTAGCATCAATTAAAGTAGTGGTCCCTCGGTTGGGTGAAGTTAACTCTTGCCTAAGTTAGAAATTACTTCCAAACTGAATTCCCTCCTCCCTTTTCCTCCAAAAGGGGTTAGTGCTACCCTGATGGACATGATGGATAAATTCTGGCACTGTGTACTGCCCTTATCATTATATTGACTTTACTAAGAAACCCGGAAACAGACCCCAAGTTTCTAGAATGATTTCTTCCTGTTTAAACCATTGACGGATATTGTGTGGAGATTAACTGTGAAGTCCCTGGGGAGTGTCTTGAGCAGTAGAAATGGGTATTCTTGATAAGGGCTCTGAGGTTCTAGAAAACCTGGACTACTCACTTTAGTTTTCAAAGTAACAGTTTTACATTAGGTATCATACAACATTTGTATGATTTGAAATTTTGAACTACACAAATTTTATTTTAGAATTGTAGCTTTTTGCTGTCTCTCTTGCTGTGTGTGTGCGCGCGCACGCACATGCGCTTCTTTCACCCCCCCCTCCCCCCATGGAAGATGTCTGAAAACTTCAGATTAAGGCCCTCTAATGACTGAGGATCTGTCATTCCTACAGACTGGGCTATGTATAAAGCAGGCAGAAGGGGCCTGGAAATCAAACAATGTTGCAGGATGATGTTTATAGAGCTTCTACAAACTGAATTCTGTAAGAAAGAGGGGAGAAATGGTGCTTGTGGAGTGGGACTGTGATAACCCGCTTTGAAATATGCAATCAAACTCTACACACTTGGCTGCCTATTTTGTCAAAGCTTGCCACTGATAAATTTCTAGAGGATATTATATATGAAACTGTGTAAGATATGACAGCTATTTCAAGGGGACTGCAGAAATACTGATAGCAACTATTTTGCATAATTTGCTAAACCACATATAACCAAATGAATAATGTATCACTTTAGGTCATTTTTCCCTGATATGAAAGGTGAAGGGGAATTATGAGGTCACCATTGAACAACTGAAGTCTAAACTTAAATGTGGAATACTCTCACTTGTGTTGTTAGTTGTGCACCATAATGTCTTATTAACCATACCTGTAATTGGAATGTATATTTAAAATTAGTTATTAAAACTACTTTTTTGATAATTTATTATGATGATGATTTAACCAGCATGTTGTAAGAGAAATGAAATGTTTTTGTTGAAATAGTTTTGGCAGTTAACATGGCATTATTCCTCTGTAGCTGCATTTTCTGTGTGACTGGGAAAAGCACAGGAATGTTCCAGATCAAGAAGAGATAATTTGTCCTGGTTGATCCTGCAAGAAAATCAGTTTTAGTGTAAATACAGCCTTAGTGTTAAGTAGTGCCATTATCAGCTCCATCCTAAACTGCTGCAGCAACAGGGGACTCTTCTGCTATAGCTGGAGTGTAATTCAGTTCAAGGCAACTGGAATTGGGCCATGTGCCTCTGCTAACCTCTTATGATTTCTTTAATCAGTACAACACTGGGCCAGAGCTAAGTGTGTGGGGATAGTCCAACAGGGAAAATTACTTTAGCTAAACTCCCCTAGCAGTTGCACCAAAGGGCAGGGATACAATGGCCCAATGCAGACTTGCTATCTAACTCTCCACAGCAGAGTATTGAACCGACCAAACCTATGGAGACTTAAGTTTACTAATGCCAGTGGGCCTAGGCAAACTTTTCTCTGTATAGGATAGGGTAGCAAATCTTCAGTCCTATCCTATGTACATTATTTGGGACCAAGTTTCGTTTAACAAAGGTTTACTTCTCAGATATATATGCATAGGAAAAGCTGCATTTCTCTAATCATGCTGACACTGAAAACAAAAAGATTGCAGATAGGTTTGAGATTCAAAAGCAAAACTTTAATAAATTAATATGCATGCCCAATAAAAATACAAAAAGACAATTTAAAGTAACAACAAATCAATCCTCAGCCAGTCGGTGTTGCCATGTTTACTTGGATCCATACAAAAAGGCATTACTTAAATTGGCGATCAGAATGTTTCTGGTGGAAGAAAGTATATTCCATCACTAAAAAAATTGTTATGGAACTTAACAAGAAATTATCTTTCAAAGTAGGAAAAGAATGACAGGTGTTGTCAATGAATACTTAGAGGTCTTGGTTTACAGCATTCTGCTTTCCCTCACCCCCATGAAATATCAGAAACTAATTACCCAACTTAAAAAGAAATCCACAACAGATTTACATTGAGAAACATGCTAACAATCACAGACTACCCCAGATCACAGATGTTGCGCTGTTCCTGTACTGTCCTTTGTAAGTAGAAGCCTCACAAAAGTTGGTGAACAACAAGCAGATAATGTAAGCTTGAATTTCCTGTACTACGTATGATGAAACAACCCAGACTATTTCTAATACTGGAAAGTACAGTATATTAATATTTTTCAACATTGTCTGAATGATGTCACAGAAGCCACAGAATAAGCATCTTTCACACACTGAAACTTCACAATAGGAACTCAGCTACAGGAGCTGGCTCAATTACTTCAAAACATTCCTTCATCATCTCCGGAGTTTGTTGATGTCCATTTAAGACAGACACACACACTCACACCCACAAACAGAGTTCAGAATAAAATATCTTCATTTTTTATAAGCATCTCCACCACAAGTCTCTGATAACGGATATCATTCAGGGCAGCCATGGCATCTATCTCTGGCGCATGCATAAGTGTTGGTCCAAAAACAATGCCAAGATTCTCTGCATTCATGAGATTCTCTTTTTCATGGAGTGTTACCCTGTAACAAGAAAGGCTGTGGTCAGAAGGCACAATCCACCGTCACCTTGCTTTCACGAGCACAGAACTCAAAAGCTTCATCTACGCTAAAAATTACAGGCAGTTTCAAGCAGGGGTCCAGTGCCATGCCTGCAGCCCTCGCCTAGTGCCAACATTTGCTGGGGGGCAGGGTTAGTTACGAAGCATAGTATTGCAGTACCAAGTTCTGTAAAGCAGAACTGAGGGGGAAAGGATGCTTTTGCATTAGATGGTGAAGCCACCAAGGTGTTATCACAAATGTTTTGTTCTTGAGAACCATTTCAACTCCACAGACCGGCATTGAGACAGGAGGCCATCCCTTCAGCTATCCAGTTCTGCTTCTTATGAAAAGAGGCCATTTTCTCCTGGAACAAGTCATTGCCACATTGCTGGAGTAGACCAAAAGTCTGGACAGAGAGAAAATATTTCTGCCTCTCATGATACTAGTTGTCTCACCATCATCCAATGAAGCTGAATGGTCAGAACAGACAAAAGCACATAGGTAAACTGTGGAAGTTTCTGCCCTGAGTATTAGACAAATTCATGGCTATTAGACTAATGCTAGGGTGGCCAATCTAGTGCCTCCCAGTTATTTTGGACTATATCTCCTGTTATTACCATTGCCTGTGCTTACTGATGGGAGCTGTACTTGAAAACATCTGGAAGGCACCAAGTGACCAGCCCTGATCTCTCTCTCTCCAACCAGAGGCAGCAGGGGGGAAAATAACAGGAGAACTGTCCTGATAGCCTCTTGTGGGTTTCTCAGAGGTACTGGACTAGATACACCTTTGGCCTGGCTGAGCAGGGCTCTTCTTCTGCCCATCTAGTCCAATATACTCTTTCACACAGTGGCCAAACTGATGCTTCCAGAAAGCCCACAAGCAAGGAATGAAGGCAGCAGGGGAAGAGAGTGGGAGGGAGAGGAAGACCACTTCATGGGCTGCTCCTTTATGCTGGCTAGTCCCCCCCCCACACACACACACACACGTCTGTTTTCAGCTGGCCTATCAGAAGAATCCTCAGAGACTTCTTATATGTCGATTGAGTTTGCTGTGGTAATTGTTTTGCTGTTACTAGCAAGCTCATTGGAAGGATATTCTGAAAGGCAGGGCTGGAACAATTGGGATTATCTACTTGTGCAAAAATACCTCCCAGATTAAAATGCCATTATGGGCTTCTTTGACAAGGATAAAGGAGTACAAATGAATCCTGTACACATGTAAGTTTCTAGAACCTCACATGTCCCAATCCTATGCTCATTGCATGAGCCAACGCGGCACATCAACATGTAGCACACACTCTGTATGAATAAGTACCTACGAATTACTGTCTCCCTTCCCCAGTTTCTCCCTTAATGGCACAGCATGCAAATAGCTGTCTCAAGAGGCCACGGTCGGCTTTATGGCAGTGAATTGCTTTTCTTAGAACAAATTTACATCTGTAAATTAATTTATGAAGATTCAACAAAAGCTCTAACATATATTTCTGATCTACAACTCGAAATAAACCACTTTAGAAAGCAATCTTATGCTCCCTGGGTAATGCAGTGCTCTGATCTCAGAAGGAGAAGCTGGAGATCTGGCCAACTGCATTTGATAACAAGATGCTGTTAGTTGGCCCCTTGCGGAAACATGTCTTAGTGAGCATCCCTATTAAGAGGTTGCTTTATGTTGAGGCTGTGAAGCAGATAAGGTTAACTGTTCTCATATGTGGGGCAATTATATGAAAATTAAATGTGAACATTTTGAGTTAGTGCTGTCAGTCCCTGCTGGCCTTCCAGCACCTTCATGCAAATGAGTATTTTTGGAAGTTCAGCATAGACTACAATCTCCACAACTCACTCTTTCCTTCTTTTCCTTTTTGCTTGATTCATTTTATGTTCATGTTATTTCTTTGTTGCTTTTTTCTTACCTTGAAACTGTTTCTCTGGATTTTCATTTAGAATTTTACTCTTATTTATAACTAGAGATAAGAGAGGGAGTGGGGTGACAGAATTTATGTATGCTTATAGAATTAAAAAACAACTAGTAGAAATTAGACCTGAACTGTCCAATGCCCATCTGTCAATAAATCTCATTACTATGTCACTGAACTTTTCAAAAGAAAACAGTACTTGGGCTCTACCAGGAGAATGACAAGGTGGTTATTAAGCTTCAACAGATAATGTAGTGAACTTTCCCAGTGTAGTTTCCTGAAGCCCTGCCAAGACCTGATGGCCTTCAACTTGTTAGAAAGGGTATCACAGAAAACTGTTGCCACAGAGTTGCCTTCTTCAACCATTCTGTAAACAAGGGTTGCTTTTGCGGTGAGAAAAGACACTGTTTGCCTTGCTGAAGCAGCTTCATACCCTTCCCCATTCAGGAAAGTGGGTTAGCACCCCAGAAACTTTGAGAGATACTTTAAAAAGCCATGGCAAAAAGTGATGTTTTTTGTTCTTGGCCTGGGGAAAGGAAGTGACATGTCATTTGCCCAGGAAACTCTGGAGGCTCATGCTCCATCTCCTGGCCTTTTCAAGGAAACCAATATAGCCATTGAAAAGGAGAATATAAGCTCATTTTCTGCTTGCTTGTATTGTGCATCCATATTCATAACTGTATTTCAATCAACTGTATATCATCTTTGATACAAGGGGCTTTGTACCTTCCTCAAATCTAAGTAAAATGACTTGATAGACAAAACCCCAAAAGTGAAAACAGGATGTGATTTAACCAAAGGAAAATGTTCTTATTTTTAATAGGAAAATTGTAGCAATGTGTTCTACTTTGCTAAAATGTGCTTCATTTTAGCCTAGATTTTGTAAGGTAGCCTGAACTGTGGCATACTTTACAAAAGCAAGGATTTTATTTGCTCAGAATGAAAAAATCTCTGAAGCCAGGGCCAAGCACTAAATATTGGTAGCTAAAAGCACAGGATACTCAATGATCTGGATTCAGGAACAGGAAGCCTGGATGGGATCTCAGACTTGGTTTCAGAAATTACTCGAAAAGGCATTATAAAGTATCTGCTGAGGGTGTTCTCTCTATTTTTAAGGCTTTAATTCCTCCTGCTCAGAAATCAAAAGGACAAATCTCACTTATTTCCCTGCAACTACAGAATAAAGACATTTTCAGAGCATTGTAGAGGAAATAAATGTGGGGAGGGTCTATGACCTCACAAAGACCAAATACTTCCCAACCAATGGAGACTAGTTCCTCTGAATCTATAATAAGCCTGCTTTGACAGGAAAATGTACCTTACTTGCTAGATGGCTATTCACAGATAAACGTACACACACACAATAATGGACACCTGAGTGAGCAACATAGGGTTTAATGTCTGCAGCAGTCAGCCCAAGAACTTGCAGCACCAAATTCTCAGTGGTGTTTGAGAAGAGGACAGGACCTTTCATTACCATACCTCTTTAAATGTGCCATGAGATAACGCAGTGTTTCACAGTGTGCAGGAGGCAGTAGTTTCAGGGCTTCATGGAGGATTTCCAGCTGTTCATCAGGATCTGTGGTCTCTGAAATGGAAGCAGCTGACCATCAAATTTAGGCAAAATGATGCCAAACCATGAGGTTTGAGGAGTCTCCTCCCAGATACTTCTAGCCTAACATGGTGTATCTAAACATTACTGCCACAAAGGCAAAACAGGCAAGGTATGATCTTCCCTTTCAGCTTCAAGTGTTTAAAAAATTCAGGCTCTCCAAGTCTCTCTTTAAGTAGAAATGAAGAGAGGAAGGAAGGCCAGGCATGGAGAATTAGAAAAGCTGTTTGAATCTGCACTTAATACTGATGACTATGCAAAGAGAAAAGAGATGTTTTATTCAGATCACATGGTTAATTTATCCACTCATGAATATAGGTAAAGCATTTATCTACTATGGGTGCAGGTTTTCCTGTTTGGCTATCTAATCCACATTGCCTACCTCAGAGAGGACTGGTCTGGCTGAGGCTTTTGACCAGGGATGCGCCTGCTTAATGAACCCAACTTGATCGACACCCGATTTGTAAGCGGATTGCAACATGGACCTCCTTTTGTTTTCACACTTCTCCAAATGTCGTGACGTACCCAATGCATGTAAAATGCATACGTTAGCACAAAAATACTAACAAAAGTGTCCATTATTTAAAATGTGTATTTTCTTGAAGAAATGGGATAGAATAGACTTATGAAAAACACATGTGGAAGTGATGCAGACCAGAAACAAAGAGAGCTGTCCATCTCTAACATTAACAGACCAATAATGTGCTAGGGACAGACAAGAGGTGAAGCCTATTGCTTTCATCTCCTGGCTGTGAGCGCCTCAGAAGCATCTGGCTGGGTTTTGGTGAAAATTATATGCCAGCTTAGATGAGCCTTTGGCCAGTTCTTACATTCTCATGCCTAGAACACCACTCACCATTTCTACCTAACAAGCTACATGATTTGTATTTGTCAGGATCTTGCTTGAAACATATAAGCTGTCATTTACAGCTACTTTGTTTCATTGTTTTCCAAATTTACCTGAAGAACTCCGGTAGCTTTCATTCTATTTTGTTAACTGATGTATTTGGTATCCAATTCCTGTTTTGAACTGCACAGTGTTCAGTAACTGAGAGGTTGTCCTTGTCGTTATACAATACTGAGGCCAATTAATTATATGAATTCCACAAGATAACTGGCTCATCTCTATCTCCATTAGACTTCAAAATGTCTTCAAAATACTGCCAAAGCATCACTGTTGGTTTTCCGACTCTCTCTATGCTTGGCATGGCACTCAATATAGCAAGATATTCCCAATACTACTACTGAAAAAGGTGCTTGCTTCAACTAGCTCTTTAAAGTATATAATGGTAAAACCTAATCTGATTGCGTATTTATTGCTTACCCCCCATAAATAATGCCAAGCAAATAAAACATGAACAATCTAAATAAATGACAATAAAAACACAGAAAGCTAAAACACACACACAATTTAAAGCTTACTTGCAGATTCTATAAACTTTGGGTAGGCATCGTATGTAATTAGTGGAATTGGTAAATCCCTGAAGTACAGTTTAAGTGCACCGGTGATAATATTAATATCTTCATACATATTCACAGAAATGTCTGCCTTTTCTCCATCTGTGTATAAAAAGAGGGGAGAGGCAAGTGAGCATGCACTAACACAAAACCGAGAATCACAAATCACAGCGATGTTTAAGGCACGTAGGTGTTAGATACTATAAGCAGGGAGAAGTAAACAGAAAAGGAAGGCACTGTCTTTTGAGATAAGGGTCGCTGCTGCGGCGTACGGACTTCTGACACCATGGAGAAGTGGCTAACAAGGAGAAAGCTGCCCCAAGGCACCTGAACACATGCCCTGTGTCCCCTGATGGCACACTTCACCCAATCCCCATTCCCACAGAGCTGTGACTGACTTTAACGGGCTTCGGACGGACGTGATGCTTGGCAGTGCGCCCTGGTAACAACAGCTCTGAAAATAACCCCACTGGCATATGTGGGGCTGCTGCGCTCTCTTCTTGTGTCACTTACTGTGTGATGAGTGATACAGGGTGGAATGCCCTCCTCCCGCCTCACTGACCGCAGCAAATGCTCTCGTCGAGCAGGCCAGGGAAGAGCATGCAATGGCATCCGCCCCGGAGGGAGGTGCTGCAAGTCCTGAGGAAGAGGATGGAAGCACATGGCCGAGCTGCGCTTGGTGACGGAACGCCGCTGCAGCACGTAGCTCAGCCTTTCCTAACCTTGGCGGGGAGTGATGCGAGCTGCACTCCAACCCACCTGGAGAGCAACAGGCTGCAGAAAGTGGGCATAGATTCAACTCAAGCAGATTAGTAAGAACAGAACTGGGTAAGAGGGAACTACGGAATGGAAAAAAGGGGAAAGTGGGGGCAGGCGAGGAGAACAGTCCACTAGGGAGGCTCTGAACATGGCAAAGGATGATCTAATTTGCCCAGTAATTAATAGTTAGATTACCTGTGTTGATCATATGGTTTTTACTAGGATGTAGAATAATGTTGCGCTACCTTTAAACAGACTGTAAACATGGAGATGTAGGAAAGATGTAGGAAAAATCACTGGTTATGGAATGGGTGCAAGTACTTGCTCCTTTTAACCAAGTAGGGTGTTGTACAGCAACGCTTCGCCCATTCCAAAAATGGCCAAAAAAGCCATTTTTGCAGCACTCCTGTACTGGGGCTTTTCCTTAGCAGCACAGCATTATTTTGAGCTCCAAATCACATGCCTTTATATCAGTTTGTTCTTGTGTGCATAGAACATTTTACATGAAGACAATATTCAAGGAAAAGCTTTGAAGGTCTTCAAATTCACTGGAGCCAAGTTAGTGTAGCTGCTGAATAATAGGACAACTCATTGTGGGGAAGTAGTCGTGATGGGTTGTTGTGCCATCTGAACCCAAACTGCTTCCCACAGGGTGGCCTATTTTTCCAGCAAAAAGCCACCCCAACAACCCATGGCTTGTTCTAAGGGTTGATGAGTGTTTGTGCCATCCTACTCAGGAAACAAATTCATTTCAGGCAGCCACGATCAGTGACCCATTTGGCAGGCATTTGGCAGGCGTGGCAACCGCCCTGCTACTTTTTGCAATCTTGCCCTTGGCATTGCCTTGAAGTGTATATCACTCGTTTGCCCCTGTCAAAACTGGTCCCAGAAAATAGCATAATTGTGTTAAATGTGTGTATTTTCATATTTTGCTGGTCTTAAGGATAATCTTGCCCGCTTGATTCCTTGCCTGTTTCATTTGTCAAAGGGAGCAGTGGTACCATGTAGTAAACAGACTAATACGGTGATAGTGCATACAGATGAATTTTTGCACAGTTGCCAGGGACCAGTTGGTCACCAAAAAGCACAGGAAAAGGGCAAAAACTTGCCCAAGTAAGTGCACCAAAGGGGCTAGGGGACAGTATCACCCACTTCACAATGCAATCCTCTGGATTTACATGCTGAGCAGACACTTCTCAATGCCCTCCATCTCTTCAGCACTTCCCCAAGTTTCTGGCTCTTCCAGAAAGGGGGGATATAAACTCCCCTGGCCCCTTTTTGTGGCTCCTTTTTCGAGCACTTACAGCTGCAGTTCCATGATAGCTTAAAACGCAGATGTATTTGCAAAAGTAAAGGCTGGGAACAAAACGGATCTGCCGGGGAACTGCAGCAGTGGGTGAACAACCCGTGCTATGCAGCCTGGGGTGCTGGATGCAGCAGTTATGGGCAGCATCTTGGGGAGAATGTACCTCGATCGAACGCCATTTTGACATCTTCAATTAGGTCACTGAATCCAGATACTCTGTAAAGTCCTTCAGAATTGAGGCCTGTTGAGGTAAAAACAGCATTAGATTGTACTTAATTTTTCTTTTTCTGACAGTCAGCTTCTTTACTACCCGCAAAGGAAAAGGTCTGAGCGAAGCTTTAAAAGCTTAATCTTTCTTTCTGAGCATACATTTCACTGCCAGTCTTCATTCCAAAATAAATTGCACTGTTAGGATCATTATATAATTATGATAATGGCCCCTGGAATGGGGAAGATTACATAGGAATCTGTAAACAGACCACTCACATTAGAATATTTAAACTGATTTACATATATTTAATTATAAGCAAAAAGCAAGTAAAGAGTCATCAGACATGGAAAATACGGACAAGGAGATGTATAATTACCTGAGACCTAACCATAGCTATCTAATTTATCTATTGTTTCTCACAAAAAATATATTGGGAAGAGTATTAGTACGCAAGAGATCACTTAATAGCAGGCATAAATATCCTCCAAGAGTGCTGAAAACAGTGTTTTTGTATCTTGTACAATAAAAGGAACTTCAGAACAATGATAAAGAATTCCTCAGAGAAATAACATGTCTAAAGTTAATGCAAAGTTAAATATTGTTCAGGGAACTGGGCAAGAACTGCTTTGAGCTGAAATTCAGCTAAACCTCAACCGATTTAGGCCACTCTCAGGAGATTAGCAGCAGAGCAAGCAAACCAACAGCATGCCTTACCTCTAGATTCAATCTCTCTAATGCACATGTCGACAACCATTGGTCTCTTTGTGAAGTGCGCTTTGACTAGGGTAGTGAGATCACAGCTGTACACTTTTTTGACATGCTTCAGGTCTGGTTTGCAGTCATTTGGGACCATCTTGGAACACTGCTTATGAACATTTAACCCACAGTCTGATGGAAACAAACAAACAAACAAACAAAGGCGTTTGAGGAATATTACCACCTTGGTTTTAAAAGTTTATAGAAGGATACTGGCTTAATCCATGACCGCGTCACTGCAGCCTCAGTCTTCACAATAGTTTGGTAAAGTAGGCAGGCTACTGAATGCTTGGCCAAGCAATGTTCTTGTGAGGGTGGTCCGTCATCTGCAGGATTTTCTGCATGCAAAGGCAACGTAGGTCTTTGGCGCACAAGTTCTAAATGTCTGATAGAAATCAAAGATATAGGCTAAGCTTCTGATGCAGCCCAACTAAAGCTGTAGCCATCGACATGTTTTTCCCAGAAAAAGAAATAAGAATGCCAACAGGTAAGTATCAGCAATAGATACTAATGCACTGAGGTACTGCACAAAGAGCCGCTGCCCATCACAAAGGAAGTTCTGGAGGACTGCCTTTTGTTTACAGCTTTTCTGGGTCCATTTTCAAGCACTGCATGAGCAGATCAAACAACCCAGTCATTTGATACATTCATGGGAAATGCGACTAGAGTTGGCAACCTCAAGGAGAACAGATCTATCAATGGATGGGTACTCAGCATGTAGCTAAATGGAAGCTCCGTGTTCAGAGGCACCATGCCTGCAAATACCAGTGGCTAGGAGGCTCCGTGCCTTGCTCTGAAAGCTTTGTGGAGGCACCAGGTTGAGCAATATTAGGAACAAGTGCTGATCTAGAAAAGGGGTGGACAGAGGGCTAGGCGGCACCTATGGGTAGATCTCTGGGTGATCTGCTGTGGAGCAGCAACGACAGGCAACCCCTACTTCACAACAGAGACAATGAAGAGGTTCTTTCCCCTACTCTCACTCCAAAAGCAGGCTGTTGAAGCTTGTGGGGAGATCAGGATTGGATTCTTGTGCAAGCTCAGCACTGTCCTGGACTAAGCATTTGCTCAAAGGTACTTGCTCCTTAACTCTCAGTGTCTGGTGCAGCCATTTTGCATTTGGTTCCCTGAGGTTCAAATCTTGGAGTCTGAATCTTGGAGACCCGGGTACAGTACTGAATCTGCCTTGGTCGCCCTGTACGATGACCTGTGCAGGGAGAAGGACAGGGGGAGTGCATCCCTGTTGGTTCTTCTGGACCTCTCGGTGGCTTTCGATACCATCGACCATGGTATCCTTCTGGATAGGCTTGCGGGATTGGGAGTCGGAGGCACTGCTTTGCAGTGGTTCCGCTCCTATCTCAACAGTCGATTCCAGAAGGTAGTGCTGGGGTACTATGTCTCTGCGCCATGGCAGCTATGCCATGGAGTACCACAGGGCTCCATTCTATCCCCTCTGCTATTTAACATCTATATGAAACCGCTGGGAGAGGTCATCAGGAGGCGTGGGCTGCGGAATCATCAATACGCTGATGATACCCAGCTCTACCTCTCGTTTTCCACTAATCCAGGTGAGGCAGTGGCTGTGCTGAACCGGTGCCTGGCCGAGGTAAGGGAATGGATGAGGGCCAATAAACTGAAACTCAATCCAGACAAGACAGAGGTCCTGTTGGTTGGTGGATCGGGCTTCGGAGAGGGTGGATTTGACCTGGTCCTGAATGGTGCAACACTCCCTCTTAGGGACAAGGTCCGCAGCTTAGGAGTACTCCTCGACCCGGAGCTTTCTTTGGAAGCTCAGGTGACAGCAGTGGCGAGGAGCGCCTTCCTTCAGCTTCGGCTGATTAATCAGCTGCGCCCCTCCCTGGAGTACGACTGCCTGGCAACGGTGACACACGCGCTGGTGACTTCCCACCTAGACTTCTGTAACGCGCTTTACGTGGGGCTTCCCCTGAAGACGGTCCAAACACTTCAATTGGTGCAAAACAGAGCTGCCAGGTTGCTGACGGGGATGGGGCGTTATGCTCACATGACTCCAGTCCTCCGTCAGCTTCACTGGCTTCCCATTGAAGCCCGGGCCCAATTCAAGGTGTTGGTTATGACCTATAAAGCCCTAAACGGCTTGGGTCCTGGCTACCTGAACGAGCGCTTACGTCCGTATATGCCCGACCGCCCCTCGAGATCTGCGGGAGAGTCCCTTCTCCGGGAACCCTCCATGAAAGAAATTAGGAGAGTAAGTACTCGGAGGAGGGCTTTCTCTGCGGTGGCGCCCAACCTATGGAATTCACTCCCCAAAGAGGTCCGCCTGGCACCGTTGTTACTGGTTTTTCGGCGCCAGGTAAAGACCTTTTTATTTAAACATCATTTTAATTGTTAAAATATATGATCTGGCCAGGGCAACTTCTTCTTCCTTCTCTTTTCTCCTCCTATATTCTTTATTTACTTATTTTATACTGTTAATTTTAATTTTATATTATTATGTTTGTATCTCAGTGTATTTTTTGTATTTTTGTATTTAGTGGTAATTTATTATGTTCTATTGTATTTCAATGTACTTTATTGTGTTGTAAGCCGCCCCGAGGCTTCAGCAAGGGGCGGCATAGAAATGTTATAATAATAACAACAACAACAACAACAACAACAACAACAAAGCTTGGAATTTGCCCACCAGAATGCCTGTTGGTCTGATCTAGCAGGGCTTGGTTTATGTTCAAGAGCTGCCAGGGCTGAATTAGCCAATCACCGAGTGAGAGGGGGCTCATATCTGGCAGCCCTACCTCTGACCGCTTCCCTTCACTTTCCCACCCCGTGCAGCAGAGGACATGTCACATCCGTGACTTGCTCTGGCAATTCTAACTAAAGGATCTCAAATTGCAAGACCTCCTGAGACTTTGGAGAACTGTTGCCAGGGAAGACAATGCTGAATATACACTCCTGTGCACTGCACAGACTAATGGTCTGATGTTACGGCAGCATTCAGATAGAAATGCTCTGGGTAAGTCTTGGCTTCAGGTGCTTCCTCCTTCCCTCTGGTATTACAGCAAATAGATTTGGAAGCTTTTGCTTATGTTTGAACTAACCACAGTTGGTTTCTGGAACTTGGTTAGTTGCAACAGTAGGTTTATGAAACCACGTTGTTTTAATAAACCATAGTTAAGATTAACCATAGTTTAGGGTTTGGGATGTGGATAACTGAAAATGGAGGGGAACACTCCTGATCTCCTCCTAACAGCCAAGCTGGAGCAGGGGGACTGCATGAGCCCTTTTTCTCACACAAATCTGATCAGGTAACAATAAACCATAATTAATAATGTCTGAACAAGGTCCATATGTCCATGTAGTCCAGTCTGGTCTGCTCTGACAGGCAAAGGTGATTCCTAATTCTGCTTTTAAGATTTCACCTGTGCCTTTATTCATGCAAAACAAATACTATATCATGGAAGTAAGTCCCTTTCTCTAGGTGTGTGTGCCTGTGTGTTTCTGTGTGTGTGTGTGTGTGTGTGTGTGTGTGTGTGAGAGAGAGAGAGAGAGAGAGAGAGAGAGAGAGAGAGAGAGAGAGAG